AAAACAAAACAAAATCATTTGTCATTGAGTTGATTTTGACTCGGGGCAATCCCTTGTGTGTCCGAGTAGAACTTCACAGGGTTTTCAACAACTGAATTTTTGGACGTAGATCAAAAGACTTTCTGTCGACATGCTTCTGGGTGGACTCGAACCTTCAACCTTTCTGTTAGCAGCACATGGTTAACTGTTTGAGCCATCCAGGGACTCCAGGAGTTCACCAGTTATATTGAAAAGGGTGGCTAGATAAATGAGTTTATGCCACCACATAACTTTCCATAAACTTTTAGGGATTTACAAACTGTGTTTTATTCTTTGACAAATCAACTAATCATGTACTATCAGTTTTTAGGACTGGTTCATATAAGCAAGTTTGAAAATGTGACTTATCTATGATTTTTTGATGCCCGAGATTCCTGGTTTTTAAAATTGTTTGTTTACTCTTCACTTGCACAGAAATCCAGTGCTTTGCTTGTCTGGCTAACATAGTGCTTGGTACACATATAGACTACAGGGTCACTGGGTAGTAAACACACAATATAGGAGGACAAGAATAACAATGATTATTGCTGCTGTTGTTGAATTTTAACCTTTTTGTCCTCATTTATATCAGCTTCTTTTTATTTTAGGAAGAAAGTTATTTCTGGGAACTTTTGATAAATAAACCTGAAAATGGGCCTCATTCATCTTTTTCTGATGTCCCCAATTCTGATACACATTTATTTCCCTCTCTCAGAAATCATGCAGTGCTTGGCTTGTCCATTGTTCTTGAATTCTTTGTGTCAAACTCATTGCTAGGAGATGGAGATATGCATAAAATATGTGTTGTTGTTGGCAGCTGTCCCATTGGCCCCTGACTCTGGTTGAGCTCATGAACAGTGTGACCTACAGGAGTTTCACTGACTGAATATCAGAAGTATGGCACCTGGTCTTTCTTTCTTGGCTGTCTAAGTCTGGGAGTTCTTCTGAAACCCGTTCAGCATCATAGAACCACACAAGCCTCCAATGACAGGCATGTGGTGGCTGCACTAGAGGTTCACTGGCCAGGAATCGAGTCCTGATATCCCTCATGGAAAGTCAGAATTCTACCACTGAATCCCATAAGGCATATGTATGTTGCTGTTAAGTGTCCTGGAGTCTGTTAAGACTCATAGCGAACCTGTATAGGGTTTCTGAGGAGCGACTGGTAGGTTTGAACCATCAGCCTTGCAGTTAGCAGTCCAGTGCTTATCTACAGCACCATCCCAGGATTCCTGTATATGTATATATATACATATATATGTATGTATGCTGTTGCCGTTAAGTGTCATCAGGTCAGTTCCAACTCATATTGACCCTGTATAAAGTTTCCAAGGCTTGTAAATTTTTGTGGGCGTAGAAAGCTGCCTCATCTTTCTCCTGCAGAGCAGCTGGTGGGCTTGAACTACTGAGCTTGTGGCTAGCAGCCCAGAGCTTATCTTACAGAGCCACAGAGCTCCTATACATACGTATGGTGGTGGTGGTATGCCATGGAGTCGGTTCTAACTCACAGCCACCCTGCATAGGGTCTCCAAGGCTATAAATCTTTAAAGGAGCAGAAAGCCTCATCTTTCTTCTGCAGAATGGCTGGTAGTTTTGAACTGCTGACTTTGAGGTTAGTAATAACTATGCTACCAGAGCTCCTTATACATATCTATAAATATATACATATATGTTCTTGTTGTTAAGTGCCATTGAGTTGGTTTCCAACTCAGCAACTTTGTATAGGGTTTCCAAGGAATGGCTGGTGGGTTTGAACAGTTAACCTTGCAGTTATTCTTCAGTGCCACACCAGGACTCTATACATATATGAGACTCGTGCATATGTATGTATACACATATATACATTTAAGACACATGCCTGTACACACACCTACATATATACATATTTAGGGAAAGGAGTTATAGTCCATTCAGAGATGCATTACTTCCGCTAGAGCTAGCTCCTTATGAAGAATGAATTTACTCCCGTTTCTTCCTTTAATTCTATATGAATGTATTGAGTACCCACTGAGTACACCTTATTTGCCAGTCATAATTTATAACTCTGCTTGGCTCTCATCACCGACTCCTTGTAGACTTAATGCAGAACATTTGGTTCCTGTATAGTCTCTGAATGCACAGCTCTGACCTACATTGATTAGGGGCACTTAGGGCAGCATCTCAGCAACCTTTTTCTTTGAATCAATGATCCTCTTATTGTTAAGAATAATCAGTACATTTGTGTTTAAAGATTACCTATTTTATGGTAGAGTTCCGGTAGCTGAACCTCCACCTTCTCTCTCTGGAAAAGATGGTACTCAGCTTGTTCACAGACGGGTGGGATCATATTAAACTGTCTTGCTACTGAATAGGCTTCCTAGGGAAAAACAAGATTGCAACCAAATTTATACTGATGAGAAGCAAGATTTCACTGACTTTTATGTGGGTGAAATTTTTATTTTAATGAAACCAGTACAAACCAAGAAACAGAGTATACCAGATAATAAGCACAGTTAAGAGTACCAATTTCACTAAGAGCAATACCAAATGCATGAAATTTCTATTATTCTTTGGACGTTCAGGGGAAATTACTCAAAGTATGAATTTTGGGCTATGAGAAAGAAAATGTGGTTTGACTATTTTTAGTTCCATAAAGAAACAAAACTTACTATGAACAGAATTTACCAGTTATCGGGTCAACGCTGACTCATGGCACCCCATGTGTATCAGAGTAGAACTGAGCTCTATAGGGTTTCTTAGTGGCTGGTTTTCCAGAGGTAGATCTGCAGGACTTTCTCCCAGGGAGCATTTGGGTGGGCTTGCACCACCAACCTTTCATTTAGCACCATTCAGGGACTTCATATACAGTATGTTGCTGTTGTTATTGTTAAATGCCATCGCCACAATTCTGATTCGTAGCAACCATGTATAGAGTTTCTGAGGAGAAGCTGGTGGGTTTGAACTACTGACCTTGTGGTTCACAGTCCAGGGCTAATTCTACAGTGGCACACTAGAAGTCCATAAACAGTATAATTTGTATTTAATATAGGTTGGGTTTCTTTTTCTTTTCATAATTCTCATCAGCAGTGAAATTCACTTCACCCTCTTGCCACCAAATAACATGTTAAAACTTGATTCCTTTAGAGACCCAAGCCCTCTCAGCAGATGTATTCTGTTCGGATATGATCTAGCTTCAATATCCATCTTTATGGTGGTGAACCTGATCGTAGAATTCTAGTGCCACAGTCATTGTGAGATGTTTGTGGAAGAACTTGTAACTTATATACGGTATCTGATGAATAACAATGAGACACTCATTTCAAATAATAGCCATTTGAAAATAGAAACAAAAGTACCATGATCTCCATTGCACTCCACCGTGAGGTGCCCCAGTACATCGCCATCCCTTGGTTTATCACATGTGTCATGGCTCGAACGATTTCTATGGAAGGCCAGACAAACAGCAGTTCATGGCTAATCAACTTCTTAAAGTTACATGATCTACATTTTTTTTTTCCTCCCCCAAAGTTAGAAGCTTAATGCAATTATTTCTTTAATAGTCTCATTGTCGTTGAATCAATTCCAACTCATGTTGACGTTGTAGGACAGAGTAGAACTGCCTTGTAAGGTTTCCAAGGCTGTATACATCTTTATGGAAACAGACTGCCACAGTCTCTTGAGGGTCAGCTGGTGGTTTCAAACTACTGATCTTGCGTTAGCAGTTTAGTGCTTAACCACTGTGCCACCAGGACTCCTCTTGATTAACACAGTTATTTCAATATTGGTGACAACATCATTGTCTACCCTAATATATTGATGGTTTGGAGGCTGGTGGTAGTACTTTTAGTTAACTGACAATCCATTTTCAATTTGAGCAGCAGTGCTAAATGATATCAGAAACATAATGACCATTTGAAGTTCTTCTTTAACTTTTACTGCTTTATGCTTCCTGGTTTCACAAAATAATACGTGATTAATTTCTTTCACTACCTGGGTATCTTGCTCCTTAAAGTGAGAAGTAAGAAAGCATTTAAAAAATAATTTGTATTCTGTAGAATGTAAGGTCATGGAGGGTAGAGGGCCTGTGGTTGGAACTTGGACTTGCAGAGCTAAACTCACACAGGGTGGCTAGTTCATAGAAATACATCACTGTGTTTAGCAGAAAGATAAATATATTAAATGCTGAACAAGCTGCTGAACCACAGTGCCTCAAAACCCACAATGGCACACCCTGTCCTGGACTGATTTGAACCAAACTTTGTTCTAAGACACCCAAGTAATTGATTCTCTGGGACCCCACCCAGTTTGCTCATCTGTCAGCTTCCCTTCCCCAGAGATAGAGCTGAGCAGATGTGGTCCAGAATCAAAGAACGCGGCGAGCACCAGTTCAAATTAGTGAGAATTCACAGAAAGGGTTGCATTGCATTTCTTCTACAAAGCCAGTCAGCTAAACACCCAGAATGCCAGATCATTCGACATTTTCAAGGAGTGGCAAACCTCAGGTTTCTTCTCTATGTTTAGTTTAGTAAACTAAAAATCTTCAGAAAAATCTCAAAGCAGATTTTTGTCTCAAAGTAGAGTCAAGAGAGATGTATTCTTTTTTTTATAAAACAAATTTCTCATGAGTAAGCACTGTCTACATTGATAGGGGCAGGATTTGGAATGAAGCAGCCAGGGTTAGTGTTGGTGACCACAAGCTTTGAGATGCTGAGGCCCTGCGTCATGGACGAAAATCCAACAAGAAGGCCCCTCTCAGGATTGCGAGCCAGGGACCCTGAGGGCCAAAGGAAGTGACCTCCTGATGTCCCGGGTTCATTGGTTTTTGCGAACTCACTGGTGGGCTACCTCTGTATAATTTTCTTTGGTCTTATTATTCATTCTATGCTTCTAACTCCAGTAATTGTAGCTTCTGAGAAAATGGTTTCTTATGTGCCTCTCTTAATGTCTCCACTGTGTTGGCAGTGCATAAGGTCCTGGGAACAAATCTCTCTGAGGAACAAGCTCTGGCCACCTGGCAAGCATGTCAAAACTGTTCTTTATCAAGTTATTCAGTTATGTTTGATATTAACTTAATACATGAGCTCTTGATATCCATGTACAATATTAAAAACCAAAACCCCTTCTAAAGCCGAGGCAGTAAAAGTTCCAAAAGTAGGTTTGCTGGGATTATGCAGGGAGGCTCGAGAGAGAAACTGCCCAGGGTGTTCACTCAAGGTAGATTGGTAAATTCCGGGAGTATTGTTTAAAGAATAACAATGGCATCCCCTCAAACTGTCCCCAAGTGTAAACCGATTAGATTAACCTAGATGTTCTCCTTCCTCCTGAAAGCTTAAACCAGGTAGCTGAAACAGCTTGACTCCCTTCAGACCTTTTAAATCCTTTTCACCGTTACCCATTAGGGCTTAAGTGCTATAGGTATGTTAATTAGCCTTGAGAAACCTCACGTCGCTGCCTTAGGTGATTTAAGCCTAAAAAGTAATTTTTAACAGTTTGCTTGAATTTTTATAAAATTAAGAATGTTAGATTATTAAGACAATTTGCAATATGTATTTTAGAATTTGTTCCTGTAAATCATTGTGTACTGTTTTGAACGATTAATCACATTTCATTTCTGTACCCTGTCTTATCTGAATAATCACCTTCTTCCATTGTGCAAAATCCCTCCTGAAAAAATAAAAGACGACTGCAGAGTGAATGCTGCATGCATTTACTGCCTGCAATGCCATGCTGCCTGCAATGCAGGGTCTGCCTGCCAGTTTTGCATCCACTGGTCTCAGAGTGTCTCCTTTTTTCTCTCGTTGCGTCTTTGTGTATTTCTTTCTCTATTTCTTTCACCGCCAGATCTCCCTACTTCGTGAACCAAACTTCCCTGTCGAGGCAGGTCCCCGACAGGTTAGGGTGTTATCTCCTTGCTTTATCTAGTCTATATAAGCCATTTTAAAGAGTCCTGCTATAGCATTGTAGGATAAGCACTGGACTGCTAACTACAAGGTTGGCAGTTCAAACCAACCAATTGCTCCTTGGAAACCCTTTACAGGGTGGTTATGAGTCAGAACTGACTTGACAATACTTAACAATAACAACAAGAAACATTTTAAATTGTCCTTGGTTTTTGTGAGACAGAATTTGATGTATAAATAGCAAACGGTTTTTCTTTCTTGGAGAAAGGACACCAAAATATCAGATTATTACTAGCAACTGAACCAGGAAGTTCATTCTCACTGTATAAAACAAATAAAATGCAAAAAATTATATGAAATGAGCATCCATTTTATTTTATTATTTAAGGTAGAACCATTATTGAAATTTCTGCTCTAGAAGTGTTTTCTTTCAGAGCATCTCCATCCTTGTACAAGCACTCTTTGTTTCTCCATTCTGATTCTCTCAGAGCTAGGGCATTCATTTAAATAGTGTATTTATCTGTCTGCTGTACTGGGTGCTGGGGATATTGTGGTGAATCAAACATGTTGGTAAATATTGAAGAGGTGAACAAAATGAATTGAACTGGAGACTTCCTCTGCCTCCATTCTCTAATCAATGAGTACAGAACACTAGCCAGAGGCTTAGCCACATGGAAGTCACTGGAAATCTTCACAAGAGAAGTTCAGGTAGAGTAAAGGTTTAAACTTTTCCTGTACATCCATTCACTTATTCAATACATAGGCATTAAATGTCTATTCTTTGTCAGGTACTGTGCCAGATGAGTAAAACAGATGCAAAGCTCTGTGACTCAAGGAGTTTAGAGTGTAGTGTGGGAGATGTAGAAATTAGTAATTTTAAAAATGTTAAATCTATACAATTAGGGCTGAGTTAGGGGTAGAAGGAAAGACCTGTTACTTAGGTTAAGAAAGGTTTCACTGAGCAGTAATACTTTGACATAAATTATTTACAAAAAAAATCCAGCCTTGTGACGAAGAGGGGTGGGGGTGGGGTAGGTGGAACAGCATTCCGTGCAGATGGAACATCATGTTCAAAGACCTTGAGTCAGGACAGAACTTAGTGTGTTCCAGGAATTAGAAGGGAGCTGTGTAGCAGAAATCCAGTAGGGAGGAGGATAGGAGTACAAGATGAAGTTGGCAAGGGCAAACTATTATTTGCATGCTATTCAAAGTGTAATGGGAAGTCATTATAATTTCAGAACAATAGCTCTGGTTGTGTTGTGGAGAATCAGTGGGAAAGAGGATATGTGGAGGAAACAGGAGCTTTAGGAAGGTATTGCAATATTCCAGGCAGCAGAGAAAAGTCGCTTGGAATAGGGTGGTGGTAAACACAGAGAGAAACATATATATACATACAAAGATAATATACTGGAGGCAGGATCCACAGGCCAGGCAAATGGACTGTATGTGGTGAGGGAAAATCTCCCAGATAGCTAGCCATTTACAGACATGAGGGAAACTGAGGGAGGAATAGAACCTCGGAGGGAAGTCTAGGGTTCCACTTTGAACATCCAAAAATGGAGATGCCTGTGAGATGCTAAAGGTGAAGCTGTCAAGCAGACACAGTTAGAGAGTTAAGGAGTGATCTGAACTGGAAATAATCACCAGCCTATTGATTGTATTTAAATTTATGTAAATGAAGATGACTACTTAAAGGAAAAAAACAGCTGAGGTTAAAAAGCCAGCCCAAGGGTTGGAAAAAGGACCCAGACCAAAAGATATGTCTGCACTCTAGACTGCTGCTGGGTGATAGGCAGCCAGAGGGGCAGGCAGGAAGCGGAGGGGAGGGGTGTCTCATCTTGAGAAAAGAGCTGTGGCGTCCAGGGTGGGCGTTGGACTGCAAGATCAGTTTCAGCTGCAAGGTCTGCAGTTCAAGCTCACCAGCCTCTCCTCAGAAACCCTTTACAGGGTCGCTATGAGTTGGAACCAATTCAAAAGCACTTAACAATAACAACAATTTGGCACTGTAGGATAAGCAGTGGACTGCCAGCCAAAATATTGATGGCTCAAACCCACTACCCATTCCTTTGAAATCCTATACAGGGTTGCTATGAATCTGAACCAACTCAACAGGAAGGGAAGTTTCAGTGTTACTGTCCTGGGATAGAGTGGGAGGCAGATGGAAGACTGGATGGAGGTGGGGTAGGGGTAGGGGTAGGGGGATACCGGTTGTAGGAGAGGTATTCATTAAAGACAACCTTTATAGACAACTCTGAACAATTTTGGAAGTAAATGGGCAGAGAAATAGGACATTTTCCAAAGGAATATCCAGGAGCAAAAAGACTATGATTTTATGCAATGGCATTGGGAGTGATCCAGAAAAGGAGCAATGGTGGCTATGGCCGAAGGAATGGGGGAGGAAGGCAGATGAGAGATAAAGAACACCTGTGTGTGGAAAGTCACTTTACATTGTAACAGGAGACACAAAGGACAAACTCGGTGGGTCCCTGCAGGTTGGTAAAACTCATCAGGGGAAGAAGTGAGAACTCCTGTTTGATGAATT